TGTATTTTCAGCAAAAAGAAATTGTTCCGCTATTGACCACCTCTTTCCTTTGGCAGGTGCACAGGGAGGTTCGGTTGCTCAGGCCCTCCTGGATGATGGTACTTTCAGTGTCCGTGCTGTGACTCGTGATCCCAGCCAGCCAGCAGCTCAAGCCCTGCTTAGCCGTGGAGCGGAGGTGGTGAAAGGAGATCTAAATGACCTTCCTGTGTTGGAGCAGATCATGTTCGGAGCCTATGGAGCCTTTGTGGTCACTGCTGGGGATTCCAGCAAGGAGCAAGAAAGCAATCAAGTAAATCAAATACAGGGGAGATAGTTCCCAACCACTCTCTGGCTGAAATCTTGTTGGCATAGCATCTAGCCTGTGGATGGGTCATGGCAGCAGCAGCAGTGGGATTTTTTTTTATAATAAAGAATTTTCCCTTCTCTCCTGCAGCTTTTTTGACTTGCAAAAATTGCTTTTATCCCATGGAAGCCATGGGATAGTAGGAGGAAGGCTTTCAGTAGCAAAAAATCATTCCCTGCCAGTGGCAATTCTTAGGAATGAAAGACTTCCTCCTCCAATCTCATAGCTCCCCCAGCTTCCACTTGATACAGGGGAATATTAATGGGAGCGATAGCCATGAGAGTAAGCTTAGGGCATGTGTCTATCATTATCAAAAAATATCCTGCTGCTGACATCATCGCCCTTGTACAGGTGAAGCTATATCAGCAGGATTTCAGCCTGTGTCTGTTGCATGTCTACGAACATGATTTGGTTTGACTCCGTCTGGAATAATGGGAATTGTAAATATGTAAGTGTCTGTCATTATCAAAAAAATATCCTGCTGCTGACATCATCGCCCTTGTACAGGTGAAGCTATATCAGCAGGATTTCAGCCAGGTGTTATTTGTGCATACACAATCAGCTATCCAAGTTCTGCTAAATGTTGATAGGCAACTTCCAAGGATTAGAGCTCTCGTATCTTAGGGTTTATCTCCATGCTGATGTAGAACAGCACTTGGACTGCAACTCCCAGAAGCCTTCACCACCAACTGTGCTGGCTGGGGTTTCTGGGAGTTGCAGTTCAAAAACATCCGAGTAGCAAAGGTTAAGAACCACTGGCCTAAACAATATATGGCACTAGCCATGCAACTGACCCTTATGTGTTGGGGTTTTCATGCCTCAATTTTCAGGGCTATTTTTTATATATATATTTCACTGCATCAATGGGACTTCTTACATAAGTGTTCACTTAAGAAATTTTATTCGTTCAGGATGTCTGCTCTAATTAGAAGCAACAGTTTTATTTAGCCCATAGGAATTACTTCAAAAGTTGCCAATATAAATCTCTTAATTTTAACAGGAACACTGTACATATTGGTAAAGAAGACAGTGGCCAGGTCAGCTATCCAAGTTCTGCTAAATGTTGATAGGCAACTTCCAAGGATTAGAGCTCTCGTATCTTAGGGTTTAACTCCATGCTGATGTAGAACAGCACAGTTAGAAAAGATGACTTCAGAAAAAGAACTCCTGTGTCAGAACAGCTGGATAGCTCAGTGGTTTAGGTCTCTGGCTGTGGAATGAGAAGTTGGGAGTTCGATTCCCCCACTCTGCCTTTTTGTCCAGGGCTGGACTCTGTGAGATCCCTTCCGGTTCTGCAGTTCTAAGATGAGGGTGATAATTTCCTTTGCTTTTCTGCAGGGCAGGAACAGCGCAGAGGCTGCCAAACACCAGGGTTTGAAACACGTTGTCTTTAGTGGATTCGACCATGTGGAGAAAGTCACGGGTGGGCGCCTGAAGGTGCCATTTTTGGACAGCAAAGGAGAAGCGGAGGCCCATTATCAGAAGCTCGGGGTGCCCTTCACAAGCGTTCGGCTGCCTTGCTATTATGAGAACTTTCTGAACTTCTGCCCCCCACAGAAGGAACCCGGGAAAGATGTTTACACTATAGGTATGGGGAGAGTATCTGCCAAGGGTTCCCCTCCAAATTTTCCTCCCTGGTCTTGCTTCTAAACAGTACCAGCTCAAGCTATTTTGCATCCTGAAGCAAAGCGCATGATGGGACACCCCCCCCCCAATGTAGTCATTAAATGCTGCTTCAGCATGGAAAATAGGATTGCCAACTATCTTGTCGAGTTTACCTGAAGGCCAGAAACTCAGGACAGGCAATATGGCACCCACAACACTGACCTCTGATGCCTCATCACTACTTAGCAGTAGTGGCCTGTTGTGTTAGCTATATAAGCCACTAGATGCCACAGCCTTCAGCATGCCTGAAGTAACTGCTGGAGTTAGCCCTACTCCTGTGACTTTGACAGCCATGTGCCAGCTACAAATTTCGGCTGATAATACTTTCGAATGTCAGTTCCTGGGGGAAAGCAGCCAATCTCCACTATTTCCTTTAAATTCCCTAAGCAGTGGATCCTAACCCAGGCTCCCCAGGTGTTCTGACATTTCAGCTCCCAGTAACCATAGCTAAGTATGCCCAGTAGAGAGGTATTCTGGGAGTTATAGTCCAACAGTGTCTAACAAGTTGTTTTCATGGAGGTGGCTACTCCTGTGTGTGGCAGAAGATAAGAAGTTACCCCGTTACCAGTATGGAAGTAAAATTCAGCAGCCTGTCCAGTGGATGCTATACAGTAAGATCGCTGTATCCCTGTTCCAGGATCTACTGTGGATGTTAGAAACTGTGGATAATAGCGAACCCTATGATGGCACATGATTATTGTTATATATAACAGAGTTTCTAGTTCTCTCTCTTGGCCAGTTCCGGTAATTCGTATTGGAAATATGTATTTGTGGTTGTTTTCATTTAATATTTTCAGGCTGTGGATAAGTAAAACAGCTGATACTGATCCTCCAGATACGACAGACCTACTGTACATAGAATATAGGATGGAGACTTTTTCTGCCTGAAGCCAAGTACCACCCTCAGTTCTATATATACAAGCCAATGAATTGATAATTAAATCTTGCTATAACACTGGTTGCTGTAGAATAGGAGGGTACTTCTTATAAAAGATTCCTATACCTGGCCGGTTGGGCACTGCAGAAACCAGGTTAGGCTGGTAGTTGTGATGTCAGAGTAAAAACCTCTTCCCGGTTTTATTCTGAACTTTGCAGGAGCTGTCCAGAGTCTTAAACCGTATCCCTAAAATAGTTCAGACTGAACTCCAGAATGGATTTACCAGGCCATAGACACCAGATCCATCAGCCTTCCTTTGTGAGAACAGAATCCTGGATTAGGTAGAATATTTGATCTGATCCTGCATGGCTTCTCCTCTGTCCCAGCAGATCTTCAAACTCAAATGGTTTTTTTTAATGGTTGTTGTGGGTTTTTCGGGCTCTTTGGCCGTGTTCTGAAGGTTGTTCTTCCTAACGTTTCGCCAGTCTCTGTGGCCATGGGCATCTTCAGAGGACAGGAGTCGGAACTCTGTATTCTGGTGCTGTTTACTTGGATAGTTGAGTATTTATAGCTGTGGGATCAGCTTTTGTCCTGTTCAGGAGATTGGGTGATTATGGTGATCAGCATGTTTTTTGTTGTGGGTGTATTGTTGTGATAAGGGGGAGAGATTGTCTGTCACTGTGATTGAGAGGTGTCGTTAGCAGGTCTAAAAACCACAACAACCATCAGATCCCAGTCATGAAAGCCTTTGAGATTACAATGATTTTTTTCTTTTTTAATTTACCTGTCCTCAGTGCATACAATTTGTGGCATCAGTTCAAATCAATGTATGAATTAATCTTTCTTTTGCAGCAATTCCCATGGGTGATACCCTCATTCATGCCATGTCTGTGTCTGATCTGGGCCCTGTGGTTCTCAACATCTTAAAAGCCCCTGAAATCTACATAGGGAAAACCATCAATCTCTCAGTGGAGACGTTGACCGTCCAAGGTTTTGCCAGCATTCTGTCACAACACTTGGGAAAAGACATCCAAGATGCAAAGGTAAAAGAGGATACTGACTGGGAACAGTTTTGCTTATTCTCTCTTATCAGTTGTGCACATTGTTTGTGTTCGTGCATTTAAACAGATGAATTCTTTTGTGAATACATTATTTTTCTAAAATAGTAAGTTTGCAAACATCCAGATTTTCAAGGTGAGGTACAGTTTTCCCCTCACATGTCTTAAAAGGTTAGAGCAGACTCCTTTCATTCAGACTGACAAATCATGCAGACACATGCTGTATCTGTTACAGAGTTTTGAGTTTCTCTTAAAATCTCCTTTTTGTTACACAGTAGAACTACATAGATCTATGTAGGAGAATAGCTACAAGTTTCTCAGAGTCCACCCCTTTCTCATTAACTGTCAGAGTCTGATTAACTCTTTCTGAGACATTTGTAGGGGAAAGTCCAGCTTGTGAAAGGTATGCAAACTTAATTAGGTGTTGTTCTGAGTCGTTGTTAATTTTTGGTGATTTTTTGTTTTCTGCATTGAAAGCCATTAGACAGAACATTCAATGGCTTTCAATGGAGAAAACAAAAAATTACCAAAAATTAACGAAGACTCAGAACAACACCAAATTAAGTTTGCATAGGGTTCAGGAGGTGGGCTAATGATTGCAAGCATTTAAAACAGGCTTCAAACAGTATGAGACACTTTTACAGGAGCGAAAAGGCACATCGGAAAGGGCTCTTTGATCTCCGTTTCCCTGCTTTTGAAGCTCTTTCCGATGTGCCTTTTCGCTCCTGTAAAAT